TTATCTACTGTAGCAAACGTGAGACCACTTAACTTCTACAAAACCCACACTTCAACGACTAATATAATCCATGGGTAATAACCAATCTGGGTAGCATGTTCTACAATTTAAGACCCTTATAATCCAGCAGGGAAGTGATCAGACACATTAATACTGATGTTCAACCTACATGATGGCTGCCCCCACCTGTATCTAGCCCACAATAAAACCAAAGAGGAGTCTGCCCTGCCCTCCCCTGAAAATGTCTCACCTCCGTGATACCCAGCCCCACAGAGATAGTATTTCTTATATAATTTTGACCCTCAGGGCCCAGCAGGGAGAACAATGGGGAAAGTCCCACTGCTCTCCCCTCAACATTTCTCACCTCGATGTCATGTTATGTCATTTATAGCAAACATGGCTTATCAGGGGAAAGCATTAAGGCATTAAGAATCTTAACTCTGGACAGCTACACACTAATATACTAGCTACACACTAGGTGCCTACTGTAAACTACTAGACTGTAGGCCCTATGTAGACCTGCAATTGTATCAATTGTAGACTGGGTCCATTGTTATTATTCTAAACCATCTCACTTATAATGTTTCTAGCTTGATTTGTTTCTTTTATAAACAGCGGATTTAAAAAAAAAATTAGCCTAATCATTAACCAAATAATAATAATGTGGTTATTTGTTGTTGGCTGGTATGATCTAGATTGTACTACTAGGCTACAAAAACTTAGTGGACCAATTACTATATTTGAATTTAATTAAACTCAGTCCAGTATCAGACACATATTGCTGTAAAAAGACAACAAAGTAGGTAGGCCTTAGTAATTTATTAAAGCCTTCTACTACAGTAATATCAACTACATGCTTGTATAAAGTTTTTACAATTTAATTTAAGTAGCAGATTATAGATCTAAGTATAGTCATACAATCTATTTCAATTTCAGAAAATTTCGTTTGCTAAAAAAATGATTAGATTATAGAGCGAGATTTTAGATCTTAGAGACAATTAAATGCTTTATTAGGCCTATTATGACTACTTTTGATTTATTATGGGTGTATTTTGAATCGAATGTAGATCTAAATTTTGTAATTAAATTTAAGTAAAGAAGTAGATTCTAGATTCTATGTCTACCCAGCGGAGTCAGTCACCCTAAATCCAGAATCTAGATCTGTGGTCCGAATTTTGTTTACGCTATGTTTAGAGCTAGATTCTAGATCTATATATTAAAACACTATTATTAGTCCTACCATTAGATCTTATTCTTCTTATTACTTTTGACTTTGTCTTTTATTAATAGTTATCTTTTATAATTAAAATGAAGTTTATTATTTTACTGTCCTTACCTGTAACAAAGTATCGAGAACTGCATTTGATCAGATTCGTCTACTTAAACTCTAAACGCAAACAGTATTACTAACACTAACAGTATTTTTATTTAGAAATTTTGGCCACATATTTATATTATCTACGAAACTGTCAATAACAGTATAAGGATCTTCAATTCCTAAGAGTTCAAGTTTTTTAACGTATTTTTCCTTTTCCGCGGGTGCGGTTCTTTTCATACAGTGAACGCGTCCAGCGCTGGTGAACACGTCCAGCTGATTGTGTTTACGTCTGGTGTACACCACTGTGGCGTCGGGCGTAGGTATCACGAACGGACGTGACGTCATATGAAAGGACTCTATTAGAGCCGCCATTTATTGTACTAAAAAGTAAACAAATCATGTGACGTCACTATTCACTCAAAGTAAAGTCGTTTTTCTAAACTTTTAAAATAAATGTGGTTAATCTACCAATGAATAAATCAATAAATTAATTAACGTCTTTGAATAAATGTGTGATTAACAGCCTGTCTGAAAACAAAAGTTGTTCTCTACCTGCATACTATTTTACAGCTCTATACATAGAGCAGATTCTCTCCGAAAATCGATCACGGAGTTCCTGATCAGCCAATCAATGTTATGTCTATTGAAACGGTACTCAAATCATCAGTATTTTTTAAACCAGAAATAGAGTAATGTTCAACTTCCGGTTATTGAAAGTCAACAAAAGGTTCAAGTAATCAAAGTATAAGATGTTATACTTATAATTCTAAATGAAATTTCATTTTCCTAACTGAAAAAGCACTCAAGTTAGTGTGTTCCCACACCAATGCAGTGAATTTCCTCTTCCACAGACAGACAGACAGACAGACAGACAGACAGACAGACAGACAGACAGACAGACAGACAGACAGACAGACAGACAGACAGACAGACAGACAGACAGACAGACAGACAGACAGACAGACAGACAGACAGACAGACAGACAGACAGACAGACAGACAGACAGACAGACAGACAGACAGACAGACAGACAGACAGACAGACAGACAGACAGACAGACAGACAGACAGACAGACAGACAGACAGACAGACAGACAGACAGACAGACAGACAGACAGACAGACAGACAGACAGACAGACAGACAGACAGACAGACAGACAGACAGACAGACAGACAGACAGACAGACAGACAGACAGACAGACAGACAGACAGACAGACAGACAGACAGACAGACAGACAGACAGACAGACGGACAGACGGACAGACGGACAGACGGACAGACGGACAGACGGACGGACGGACGGACGGACGGACGGACGGACGGACGGACGGACGGACGGACGGACGGACGGACGGACGGACGGACAGACAGACAGACAGACAGACAGACAGACAGACAGACAGACAGACAGACAGACAGACAGACAGACAGACAGACAGACAGACAGACAGACAGACAGACAGACAGTTGGGCAGGCAGGCTGGCTGGCTGGTAATATCAAGAATAATATAGGCCCTACTGATGTATACATCATACAATAATACTAATAATTAAACATCAGATAACTTTGTTACAAAATAAACTAGATAATTATACAACAAACGGTACTCCTCTTTTTGATTGGTATTATTATTTTTATAAATGGTAATAATAATATACAATGTTAAAACTAGTTTATTTACCACATTTGTCGTCCCTATGAGTCCCTATCTCTGACAAATGGAATCTATTTTTGTCTCCAGCGAATCTATTTTTGTCTCCAGCGAATCTATTTTTGTCTCTAGCGAATCTATTTTTGTCTCTAAAAGAATAATTTCTTTCGTCTATTTCACGGGTTCCCAACCTGGGGGTCGCGACCCCCCTGGGGGTCGCGAAGGTCTTTCTGGGGGGTCGCCAACTGGTATACTAAACATAAATATTTAGAAGAATTTTTGAAATTCGGCTTCATTAACATCACTGGAAATGTAATAGAGAAGAAACAAAGCGCACTGTACAAAGTTGTTATCAGTCACGAATCTATGAAATCTTCAAAACTAAAACGTCATTTGAGACGAGTCATTCAGAACACACCAAAAAATATATGGAGTTCTTTCGTCGGTAAGAAGCTAGTTGCAAACGCCAGAGACTTGATCGAACAGGAAGTTTTCACCAGCATTAGTGCAAGCATCAAATGAAGTCGAGATAGAAAATGCCAAGCAAAAAAAACAATAGGAGAAAATCTCATCAAACGCTGCATGTACGTAAATGTTAAATAACCCATTTTTATCGAAATTAAGCTTTCACCACTGTTTGCTTATCAAGTTGATAAATCAACAGACGTGAGTTCGTGTTCGCAGTTGCTGGTCTGTGTCTATATTCATGCGGATGATAGCAAAGAAGAGTTGCTCTTTTGTGAAGCTAGCATGGAGACAATAAATACCATTTTTGAAACTGGATAATTAAAATGGGTTAGAACGGCTGTGGGGGTTTGTACGGATGGTGCGCCATCTATGTTTAGCTCAAAATCAGGCTTTCAGAAAACAGAAAAGATTTAGCTCCCTAACCACTGCCCTAACCAATCGACATCAAGAGTCCATTGCTAGTATAAGTCGTAAATTATATAAAATCTGGAGCCTTCAAAGAACTGAGCAAAAACATTAATATAGATCACGAGGTTCTGCTCTTCTACACTAAAGTACGCTGGCTGTCGAACAAAATGTTGTAAATCTGAAATCAAATTGTTCTTGGAAGTTCAAAGGAAACAAGACTTTTTGGTATACTTAAAACTTATCATACCTAGCAGATGTGTTCGAACATCAAGATAAGCTTAACCTGAAGCTTCAGGGAAAATGAACGAATATTACCACTTTCCATGATAATCTTGGGTCATTTTTATCAAAGCTGCAAAATCGGTAAAGAAAATAAATCTTGGGAATATTGTAAATTTGAGAAACTCTGCGGTGTGGTAGATAAATCTGATTGTGAGATATTTAAAATTTTGAAAGAAGCGATTTCTGGGCATCTTGAATCTCTTAAAAACGAACTGCATCGCTATTTCTCTGAGCTGAAAAAAAAAAAGAATCTGGATTGACGCATTACCCATTCTCTTCTTCCTTTGATGTTGCCAGCATTCCCGATGAATTACAAGATGAATTCTTTGATTTGCAGAATGATTCCGAGTAAGATTAAAAACTGCAGACACAATTTTGGTGTAGTATTCACCATTCACAACCAAACGTAAAATTGATTGACTTTTCGAGAATATATTTTCAACACTATTCTTCGATTAAAAACAAAATTAAGATAATTATAATGACATAGGTGGGCGTTAACAAATTTTTTTTTAAAATTAAAAACTAACCACGAAGGTTTAGTGAATAGTATGCAATTTTACTCATGCTATTAAAATAGTTATCAAGAGTAGTTCATATTGAAAGTCTACTAGAAAATCTTATTTTAGTGCTTATTAATTTCCATACTAATTTCGGCGTTTTAATTCTACGGGGGTCGCGGGTCACTTACTTTTTATAAAAGGGGGTCGCCACTCGAAAAAGGTTGGGAACCACTGGTCTATTTGGTCACCAGAAGAACAATTAAATCTATTTCCAGTTGTTCACAACAGGGAAAACCCGTTTACGCCAGAATCTTTCCGATTTTCCTTTGGGTATTTACATAATCGAATCGGATTTACCCAATATTATTTTTTCAATCCTCCTATTTTACTGTGTTAACTTAATTTCATAATCTGTATAATTTAAAGGTTTAATCATAATTAAAGGTAGGTCAACTTTAGATATTCCAAGGTAAGAAATGCTACTGCATTTTAATGCTTTGATACGATAATATTTTTTTAAAATAAATCTATTATTGAATATGTAAATATTTGAAACACAGAGCTGAAAAATCTTTTAGTTACATGAAAACAGCTCAAAGTCAATTACATATAACACCCCTATAAATATATTATATATATATATATATATATATATATATATATATATATATATATATATATATATATATATATATATATATATATATATCGGCAGTTGAGTAATGGGAAGTCTGTCCTCAAGAAACAGACCTGGAGCCAACGAGAATCTAGGTATGACACGTACACATTTAAACACACACACATTATATATATATATATATATATATATATATATATATATATATATATATATATATATATATATATATATATATATATATATATACATGAGTCTGTATGTGTTTGAATATATATATATATATATATATATATATATATATATATATATATATATATATATATACCTATAAATATATTTAGGCTATATATAGATAGCTTATATGCTTACTTCATTCAGGGATTTAGATATTTTTCGTACATCTCTTTTGAAGAAATCGAATAAATCGAGATTTTTTATTACTTTTAAAATGCACACACTGAAAAACAAAATTTGTATCAATATTTTGAAGGTTCCTTGTTGAGTCTAAGTAGTTTTTTTTTTTTCATTCGATACGCTTAAATGACCCATACTTTTTAAAAATATTGTAGAGTCTGAAGCTGATAAGGGCATCAAGTGTAAAGTAGTTTTACCTGACAGGGAATTCCGGTACATTGAATTGTTTATACACACGACTGGCGCTGAGGTAAGTGTATCACTGCGAGGGTTAAAGGTTAAGGGGCAGTATCACCCAGAAATTTGAAAATTGACGAAAAAATTTGCCAAAAAAAAAACTATTATACATACACACATAATTTTTTTACCATAATAGTTACTATCAAGGAGCTATAAAACAGCACATAAAAGAAAGTTAACGTATAATGCAAACATTTTTTATAAATAATTTTGCCAAAATATTTTTAATAAGTAATTTTTGGCTGCGGTTTTCAAATATTCAGGCCTTTCCTGTTGAAGGTACTCTAGGACAGGGGTCGGCAACCTGCGGCTCACGAGCCGCATGCGGCTCTTTTGATATCAAGATGCGGCTCTCCAGCTCCTTGAACAAATACTAATAATCTTAATCAAAAAATAAAATATTTGAAATAGTAAAATGTTACTGGCTCTTTAAAACCAGGGAAATTTTTTAAATTGTAACTTTTGTCTCTTCCGCTTCAAAAGGTTGACCAACCCCTGCTCTAGGAGATGCACAACAGGGTTGCCTATGTCCGGGACTAGGAGATATCCATTGTGACAAATTTTGAAAATTTTAGAATTTTTCAAAGTCAGACCAAAATAATTGAACTTTGAAATTTCCCAAAAAATGTATCTCTCAATAGAATACTATTATCCTGGTCCCGGACACTAAGAAAAAAAATTGCAAAATATGTTGAACAAATATGCTTTTTGCCAATTCAATGAATGATTAACGAGTTAAAAAGTGACACCCGACTTATCAACGCCACTGATCAACAGTAATGTAATTAGAGTCGTTAGATGGTACGAAATATTATTGTCCAGTGAGTTGTTTCTGTTGTCTAGCAGTTTACCTAATGCAGTAGCTAGTTTTGGCAAAACTATAACATATTTTTTATATCATGTATTGTTAATGATCATTGATTAATTTTTTTACGATTTTAATTTTAAAATTAGATTTTAAAAAACACGGTTTCAGTTCTTAGGGCCCAAGGGGTAGATGTTGTGTAGATTTCGTTTGCAACTAATTAGGCTAACATTAATGTTATTATGATGGTGTGGTCGGCAGTGTTTCTTCCAGACCTTTTTTCTCCGGATGAAGGTGGAAGGGGGGGGGGGCACCTCATATTTTCGGGGGCGGACAGTGGTAAAAGAATATATTTTCCATATTCGATTTCGTTTGTGTTGGGGGGGGGGGGGGTGCTGTGAGGTGCCTTGAAGAAGCTCTGATGGTCGGCTGTTTAGTTGAACTAATAAATTGAACTATATTTTTTTCTGGTATATTTTGTATAGCACAAGAATGACTCAACAATGTAATAGTACTGTGTGTAAACAGTGACAATAGTAAATAAGTTTAAAGGAAGTGACTTCATTTACTGTTTTGTCATGTTTTAGATTAAGAACCTATGTGCATCCCATTACAAAGCCAACATGTTGACTGTCAGTGTACATAATCCTCTCAATGAGGTCGTTATACTAGAGGATGCAATGACCTTGGCAGACCATATTGATACGTTGAAAGAAATACGTATCACCTATAATGAGTGAGTATAACCAACGATAAAAATAATGTATCGTTATTTGAGCATTCAATTCTTCTTCATATCGAAGGTATATGGCATGATTGGGTTACAATAATTAAATAATTTGTAAGAAATCGAATATTTAATATTGCCTACTGCTTTAACGTCTGTCTAAAATCATTTTTTAAATAATCTTATAAGTTGCCTTACATTAAATAAATCCATTGGGGGAGGGGGGGTAGTCCATAAATGACGTCACACTCGTAGGAGGGACGGGTGTTCCGTAATTTTGTGACGCTGTGTTATGAGGGGGAGGGGGGGGGGTCAGATGATATGACGTCACACTTTTGCATTATTAAAAAAAGCAATGTTAGAAAACGAATTTTAGCCGTTATTTCGCGTTTTAGAAAACTGTTTTAATAAATTGTAATAGGAATTGATTAAAATGCAGTATGTTGACAGAGTTTAGACAAGATTTTGGAAAAATATCGTATCTTAAGAAAAATGTAATTGCAATTTTGAGGGCGGGGGATTGCAAGCTGAGGCGTGACGTCATTTTAGGGGGAAGTATGGATTTTTGTGACGATGTGTAATAGAGGGGAGGGTGGGAGGTAAAAATGGTCAAAAAAAAGCGTCAAGTCATTTATGGATGACCCCTTATCGTAAGTTATCCCCAAATCCAGTAGCGTAGCGAGGGGTGGGGGGGGGGGACATATGTCCCCGGGCGCCGACCTTAGGGGGCGCCAAAATGGGTTGGAAAGATAAATTGAAAGGTTGAGGGTGGTGTAAATCGAAAGTTTGAGGTGGGGGGTGCAAATGGAAATCTCGAGGGGGGTGTGCAAATCGAAAGATTGAGGGGGAGGGGTGCAAATGGAAATCTCGAGGGGGGGGGTGCAAATCGAAAGTTTGCGAAATAAAAAACCTCGCCCGTTGCTTAATGTTTTATAGAACCCACAATAAAAATTATTTTAAATTTCGAATATAATTAACTTCTAACATTCATAAAATTAAAATTTTTAGAGTATAAAATTGTGACAAAACTATCACGCTACTTTTATAGTATCATATCGACGTATTTGTATAATCATTTGTATAATCTTTACCTCATTTAAAAAATTATATATATATTTATATATAAATATAAATATAAATATAAATATATATATATATATATATATATATATATATATATATATATATATATATATATATATATATATATATATATATATATATTTATATACATTTATATATATATATATATATATAATTTTCTTTTATAAATGCCTTCTGTGTATTTTCATATAATCTTACCATCGTCTTTCTATACAGGCAAGTAGTTAACAGGCCAGCTGATGAAATTGGGGGTGTCAAATTAAAGCGTTAAAACATCCGCTACCTTACAGTTTTGGACCATTTGTTATTGAAACTATTGAAATATTTTTAAAATCCGTGTATGATTGGTCTGTCAGCTCATTTCACTACTAGTTCCATAAGCTTTACTAAACTCAATTAATTGGTTAACATTGTTCAGTCATACTGGGGTTGTTTTTTTTTTTTTTTGGAAATAAATGTAAAGAATATAATAAAAATAATATATTGTTTTTAACCGAATTGTTTATTTTCTTCACGATGTTTTAAAGATCATGTTAAATCTAGGTGTAAATTAATTCTAAATTAAATTACTTTACATTTTATCTTCCGATTTTATTGAAATACGTTTTCTTGGGGGTTACAGTCAAGTGGACAATATTTCAGCTTATAAACAGTGTTTAATTAGAATATACGTACATTTGTTGATTGTAGTTTCATTTTTTAATACGCCATACATATTTATTTTGTTTAAAATGACCTATCTGATTTGAATGTTTGCAAAAATCACTCTTCATTTTGATTCACCGACCGAATGTTCCCTATACAACTTGCCGTGGGTTTGAATGTGCTATACGTCGAGATACAATACTCCGCAACATTGCTCTATGTTAAGTCTCTCACATCTCAAAGCAATTTTCTACATTAAAATTAATTAATATGCCTGTACTTCCGTTCTAGCCCCCGAAATGCATACCCAGTTGTTTTTGTTAGGTGTTTTTTTTTTTAAATTTAAAAACTTGTATGTATACATGACCTATATTGTTGAATAACATAATAAAGGATAATGCAAAGATATAAACTGGTCTGATAAAAATATTTACCTGAAAAATTAGCCGACTTGAGTTTACGGAAGATGATGGTTGAAGTGTAGGTCCAGTGAAGGAGATAGGCGGAGTAGCTTCACCACTTTCACTAGCTAAAACCTTTCGGTCAATTTGATTTATTTATTCATTACACTCTTAACTCTACATTCTTCTTTTCTTCTTCTTCGTTCTTAATTGTTTGAAGGGATCCCCTCCAACACAATTAAGTATACGTGTCAACTGGTTATGCGCCATTGAGGCCATTGACTCCAAAACAAACTACAAGGCAGCAGTTTGATTTTGGAGTTTTCTCTCCTAGAAGAGTTGCTGTCCCCAGCAGAGGTGTAGCGACCCTTCCTGGCGCCCCGGTACAAACTTTCAAATTGGCACCCCTTCCCCCCTCCCCCCCCCCCCCCCGGGACAAACTATAAATATATTTTTTTATATTTATAATGCAAAACTGCAGTTAAAATGAGCATTTAATTTTTTTTTCCAGCCCACTTTGGCGCCCCCTTGTATCGGCGCCGGGGACATATGTACCCCCGCCCACCCACCCCCTCGCTACGCCTCTGGTCTCCAGCTAATGAACCTCTCTGCCCGAGAACTCTACATTGTATCACTAAAATTAACAGAACTTAAGCTACACTAAACGTAATTGAACATAAATGCTTCTACATAATGCTTTGTAACTTTTTCTTAATATCGTCACTGCTGTTCTCTCTTCTGGTCTTAATTGTTTTTCGTCAAAGCTTTCCACAATTTTCCCAGCTCTCTAAACAGGCCGTTAAAATAAACCTGTTCAATGAGGTTTTTTTTCCCTCTCTTTTAGAATAATTCGGAAATGAGTTAGGTAACTCAGATGTACAGTTGCAAATTTTCCATTCCACCCCCCCCCCCCCACCCCACGAACTGTTAAAACGGCTAATCCGATTATTCGTATCTCTTGATTTTGCTTGTATGTCAAAGCAAATTTTAGCTCGTATCTAAAAAATCTCGTTTGTCGGGGCACTCGTATGTAGTGGTATCACTGAAAACGTTGTAGTTCATTATTGTATCTGATTACAGAGTTGGTTGTGTGCAAGGAATCGATTAAATAAATTATTAAAAATACCCAACACAAACTGAAGCCTTGTTCTTGTTTATTAGAAAGCCATTTAAAATAATTTAAGGATTAATGAGCAGAGTTTCTTCCAGGCATCTCTTCGTGGTGGGGAGCGGGTGGGGGGGGGGGGGGGCTCCCCCGAATGGAATTTATATAGAAAACATACCTTTACCAGTGTCCGCCTCCCGCCCCCCTCCCCTCCCCTGGAGAAAATGTCTGAAAGAAACACTGTTATTGAATAGTATATTTCTAAGCATTAATAAAGCACAAAAGTAATTGTATGAAATTAAAAGGTATTTTAGAAGATGGTTGGATATTATTAGACCAAAACAAGTTAATTAAAAAAGTCTAGTGACATTTATGCGCAATTTCCTTATGTTATCTAAAAATAGCTCTGACGTATAATGCTGGGGTGCGTTCAAGCTAGAAGAACGATCGGTTTGTAGGTGTTTATGTAATTTTAACATTTGTGACCGAACAGGAGGATATTTTTGAAAACTTTCTTCGGCAATATTGTTCTAAATTATGGCAGGAATCGATTGGTAGATGTTTGAAGTCGCTAAGTGGTCTGGTTGCCGAGATATGGGCAAAAAACTGCATTTTTTCGAGGTTTTTTGGCTTTTCCTGGAAATCCATGAAAGAAACCCGGAATTTTTATGGCCTATGTTCATCCTCGTAACTTGCTTAACATAATTGCTTTTGGAACTAGTCATCGATATTGCTTCGTTGAGGAGGAGATACGACTTAAAGCCCGGACACACATTCATACATCCATACATTCATTCATTCATCCATCCATTCCCAGAAATGACGAGTTAATAAACGCAATTCTCCAGAATGGAAATTGCGCTAAAAAATGTGCGAATATTTATAATGTAAAAATAAAATGGTTTCTGTTGCTGTAAGGTTCAAAAGATTATTCCAATGAGATAGACAAGGCAGTAGCCTATGACAGTGCAAATAAGAAGGAGCAAGTGGCGCTAGGTGGGACACACACTACGAAAGGCTCACCCAAATGTGTCACACAAAGCGCTTGAGTGGAACCCCCAGGGAAAGTGGGAGAGAGGGCGTCCAAGACAGACCTGGAGGTTGAGTCTTCTTAAGAACTGAAGTCAACAGGGATGTCTTGGGAGATGACAAAATGAATAGCCGGGGATCGGACGAAATATTGAAGGTTGTGGTCAATGGCGTAGTTGGGGGAGGGCTGGTAGGGGAGCCGCCTAGGCCGCCGACCACAAAGGGGAAAGCTCGATTTAAGTTGAAGTATCGAATTATACACAATAAAAGTTACGAAAATAAACGACTACAATGTTTTACACACTGATCTAAATGTTTCCTTTTCAATTTTGTGGCGCCGAAAATGTTATGGGATAGTAACTGGTAAGTAGCGCTGCAAACTTTTCTAACTGGGGTGGGGGGGGGGGGGGGGGTTATATAGACAGGAATAACGATATAAAGAAATTAGAGGGGGGGGGGGAGAAAAATTGGTAGTCCACCCCGGACTCCGGAATAGGTGGCTACGCCTCTGGATATGGCGGAGGCCCTATATTCCACAAGCACCAAAGAGGACTAAGTCAAGTAAATCATTGATCTACCCTGTATTCTGTATAACTAAATATAACCTCAGCCAATTTGGCAGTAAGCCTACCTGTTGCGAGTTGTATAATTAGTGAACTATCCCTAATAAGCTTGTTATTAAAATTATCAAACAAAATAGATTTTTAAATTCCCGATTAAGCCATTCATTTGTAAAATACCCATGGCCATTGGTATAAAGAACAGTGTTTCTTTCAGACTTTTTTTCTAAGGGGGGGGGGAGGGCACTTGATATTTTATTTTCGTGGGAGGGGGGGGGGGGCAGACTAAATTTTCCGGGGGAGGTGGCGGACACTGGTAAAGTATATTTTTGTAAAAATATCCATTTCGTTGGGGGAGGGGGGGGGGGGAGTGTAGACTTTGCCCCCCCCCCCCCTGAAGAGATGCCTGGAAAAAACTCTGATAAAATAATAGAAAACAAAAGCCTTTCTATTAGTCAATTGTCAAAACATAACAAAAATAACTTTAGACCTGTACAGAAAACGAGTCAACTCATTAAAAATCAATACAAAACTTATGTAATTCGATGAGCTGGGTCTTTGAACACTTTTTCTTTAATGTAATAATTTGAGCTCAAGTAAAAAGCATACCACCCGCAACACTCCACACCTAAATAAATAGATCCTAGAGCTCTAAAATCAGGTTCCCAAAACCAAAACAGTAGCGCACCATCGCACCAGTTGTACCCCGTTTTGAATGCAGTTAGCGCGAGACGACATCTAGGCTAAGCCTACTCTTCAACCGTTGAACCCAAAAAGTACGTTCCCCCATTTTGCTTAGGCCCTAGCACATGTCTGGCCTACCTTCTTCGTTGCTGAAGTCTTTCTAAATTGCATCTTAGCCTCTGTGAAAATATTATTCTTTCAAAAGAGACAGAAATGTGTATTGAACGATGTAAGTAATGTAATTTTAGATCTAGATTTCTAGATCTAGATCTAGATCTAGAAAATCTAGCCTATTGCCTGCAAATCTTATCACTTGGACTTTGGACTGATTTTTCTTTTTCACTTCTTACACTGACTTACGACTTACACTTGACACTAACTGTCACTAAGTATCTAGATCTAGAATTCTAGACCTAAATCTAGATTAATCTAGATCTAGATTTAGATAGATTTTATAGAATTTAGTTTTAGTAGAATCTAGATATCTAGTCTAGAATCTAGATCTATCTAGAATCTAGAATCTAGATCTGATATAGATCTAGAATTTTGACTAGATTCTAGACGGGTCTAGTAGATCTAGATCTAGATTCTAGATATCTACTGACTCTAGATCTAGATCTAGATCTAAAATCTAGATCTGAAAATCTAGATCTAGAACAGGGGTCTCCAAACTTTTCAGTCTGAGGGCCGCATTAACTATCAAATTTCAGTTCGGGGGCCAGTTTCTTCCAGGCATGTCTTTGATTTTTCTGGCAAAATTCCTCAGCCATCACCAACAAATGTTTTTTCCGTGGACAAAAAGATCTCCACGGGCCGGATGAGAGGACATCGCGGGCCGCATCCGTAGTTTGGAGACCCCTGATCTAGAATCTAGATCTAGATCTAGAGTAAAGTTCCACCTGTGGTCACACATAGCGAAAAATTCCGAACTCCCGATTTTCATCGGGCGCTATTTTATAACCGTTTCACACAGAAACAAACCAAAAGTACTTTATTACTCCACTGCCATTCTACTCTAATATGCATGAGTTATTTTGTATTCATACGCATAGTATTTGAGATATTCATGTTTTAGTGACGAACCTCCTTGTGATCTATTTTTCCCCCCTTTTTTTTTGCCTGTGGTCACCTGTCCCTGCTTGTGATCACTAGCGTAT